AGTGAAAACTATAATTTAGGGATAATAAAAATGCTTACCAACAGTAAACTTGCCATGAAGAACACAGTCCAGGCTGATGTCATCCTCACCCAGAGCATCTACAGTCACTCCTGAGAAGGGCAGCAGGCTGCTGGTCACTTGGGCAGTCAGGTCATGCATTGTTCACTGTGTCAACAAAAGCAGAGAGAGGAATAACTTCTAGTGAACTTCATAAGTCATTCCTAAAATCTAGAGGAAACATGTCAACATGATATCATCAGCGCAGCTGCATTGTTGGCTCAAATGAATACTTTGTTAGGAAGCACAGCTGCTGGCAGCTGGGTTTAAAACTGAGCTTGGGTTCCAATCATCAACAAGGCTGCTGCGCATCTGTTGGCAAATGTACCACATGGCAGCAAACGCTGATCGACAGCCAGACTAAAGAACAAGAACAACTAGTGTAGCAATTTCAGGCCAGTCTATTATTGAGGCATATGAGAAAACTAATAACCCTTCCATCACAATTTTGATTTCAGCGAGGGAGGAATTCTAGATCGATTAAAAATATTTCATGTTTTTGTCAAATTTAGTCAAAGTTTGGAAACCGGGCGCTCTTTCTGTTGGGTATCACCAACCTGGTAAATTCTGACTTGGTGTTTTAAATTTCAAACATTTCAGAGAAAGTAAAACAAGGCTGTTTTTAAAAAAGATTCGGAAAAGAGGAAACAGAGATCTGACAAGCGATACACATTTAGCCTTTTTTAAAGCAGTAATATAGCTTCAATTCACAGCATGTCATCTCAAGGCACTTTACAGAGACAATTCAGCCAGATTGGCTCCAATTGTTCTAAGGAAAACCAGCTGATTGTATCGACTAAAGCTGATAAAGAGAAAATAAACACACACAAGAATTTTTCTTTAGGTTCAATGTTATTACTAGTTTAGAAATTAACAGACTACCGCAATTTTTTTTATTCCCAATTTTATATATTACCGTAACATGTTTTTGGTTCTTAGGTTTAATCCATTATTCAATTAAAAGAATTGAATAATTAAAACAAAAATAAAAAAAGAAATGCATATCTTAGGTGTTCAGCCAACCACAGATCGGAGGATACCTGGAAGACCTTTGGTCATCTGGGTTGTTCACGTCAAGACTGAATTAGATTTTTCACCTTTTTGCAGTCACAAAGCCAAGTTTTTGGTGCACCAATCAGAAAACGTGTCCTACACAGGTGAGAAGCACAGTGCTGCTGACAGCTAAATGCAGCATGTGTTAAAGCTGACACAACACTGCCCCCTGCGGCCACTGGGGAAAACAACACCGCAGATTCAAGTGAACTCCCGCGCAACCAGCCAGCTGGCAGAGGAACGGAGAAAACACGCGAGACAGCACATGTTGATAAACTACATCGAAAAAAAGAGCTTTAGCTTTGATAGGGCAAAACTTTTTACACACTAATCTAGAATATTGAAATTTATAAACAATGCTGGAGGACGTTATACCACTACAACAACGACCGGTTCGGGGATAACTGTCCGACAGCTAGTTATCACACGAAAGCATAATGCTTAATAATCTAGATAAATAAAGGTTTTAACGGTGAATAACTGATAATTCGAAAATGTCCTGCCCAGAGCAACGATTACCTCCATAAACTACTTAGCGACGTTTGGCTAACTTCATAGAGAACAGCTAAACTACCCATTTAAGACATCTGAATTGTTCTGTTCGACTACACATCACTTATAGGGCGTTTAAGAGATAATGTTTTAGGGCCATCGCACAAGATAAAGGATGTTTTTTGGTCTTTCAGTTGTATTAGCAAGCCGTTAGCACGCAAGGTCACTCGGATTAGTTCATTTTCACTGTAAAAATGAAGCTACATAACCTACTGTAACCTAACATGCGAGAGTTTCACATACCAATGTTCCTGTCATAACGTATATTTATTTGATATCAGGCAACAAAAACGATGAAAGTATAGTTATTGTCTGCTCAAGGCAGAGTAGCAAACGATTAGCTTAAGCTACGTTGCTACTCTTGCCAACGCAGTTTACTTAGAAGCAGAAAGTAGGTTTGTATAACAACCGCTATAAGTGATTTAAGCGGGTGAGGGAGGGGGGTTACTGCGCTTTGATTTTCATTAATAAAACAAAACCGACTTCTAGAGCTAAATATGCACTGATCATGCTAAGACAGTTCAAATTTAACGCCACGCTAAGCACATAGCTAGTAGCTACTGACGACATTATTGGTAAAGAGCCTCTGTAAGGCGCAGTAACGCTCATAATAAAACCATTTTTAAGTTTCCTCAATATAAAGGGGATCTAGGGCTGCGTTACATCTGAACTAGCTAAACTAGTAAGCGTGATGCACTGCTATCATCGTTACACTACCTGTCCAAGGATGATGATGAAGGCTTCGGAGCCACTATTGCTTCGCTTTTCCTTAAATAACTCCCCTTCCTCTTTCATAATCCGGTCGTTTTAAAAATACAATATTTCCAAGATCCCCGAGGAGTTTCAAAAAAAAAAAAAAACGAAAGGCTCTCTGGACTTCAAGCGTTTACAACTCGAAGCGCCATTTCTAAATTGAGAAAGTACGCCGTGCAGTTCTTCTTCGTCCTAGTTTGTAGCTCTGGGCACGGCTGTCGCCCTCTACTGTTTAGGCGGAGGACCTGCTACTGGAAGGCATGCTGGGTAGTGGTTCTTCTTCTTTAGATTCTTACTGCAGCTTGCATCCATTGTTGCACTACTGCCATCTATTGGATCCTAATATCTACTCCTCAAATTCTTATAACGATCCCAGTGTTTTCGAGAAAAAAAAAAAAAAAAAAACCTTTCCCCCCCTCAATACTATTTAACTGATCAACCACATTCTCAAATTCTAATTCCATATTAAAACCCAATTCTGTTTTTAATAATCTCCTTTGATTTATACCAATAAAGTATAAAATCAATCCACTGGAATTTTTCCAAGTTTGAAGACGTTTCGCTTCCCATCCAGGAAGCTTTTTCACTTCTTTGATTTACATATATTCTACAACTTATAAAAACATGTTCCATTGTTTCTACAGTATCGTGCCAACTACAAAAACCAGCAAGATCTTAAAAGGAAATCTTTAAAGGAGTTTTATATAAAAAAAAAAAAAAAACATCACCGGTTCTTATTCTATTTATAATTATCTCCTTCCTCCTGTTTATTCCTCTAATCTTTACTATATGAACTTTATTTTGTAACCTATACAAATGCCTTCCATTTATTTCATTATCCCACCTAATTTTCCTTATCTTCCTCTTTTCTCTCCAACCTATACCATTGCCTTCAGATTTAGATAACTGTACTGGCATATCAATGTCTTCTTTTTTAATAGCCTCCTATCTGCTCTTTTATTACCCAAAATACCTATATGAGCAGAAGCCCAAAATCTGGGTAGTGCTTAGCTGTAAAACGTTATATATATGTATATATATATATAGTTTTTTTTTTTTCAAGGCACACAAACATGAGAACAAATTCAAAGTAATATCTGACAAGGTCAAAAGGACATACAGTATGCTGCAGTTAGCATTTTAATGTCAAGATGAGTTGTGTTCACAAACCACGTACTTTTTCAAACTGTGTGGCTTTACAGCCGCAACACTTAGTAGCTTTAACTGTATAGATAAAAATTCCATAAAGTAAACACTTCATTATACTGTCAAGTGTTTGCAAAAGAAAATACAGTTGATTTTGTTTCCCTTTCAACAGGACACTAAAGAAATGACTAAAGCAACAATGGTGCTCTGAAATTCTGGCAAGAATTAAAAATGTCTAACAGACAGTCTAGTCTCTACATTTGCATAGCTGGCATAGAAATATCATAAAAGACTGATTTGTATTTAAAAACAATTAAGACTGACAAGGGCATTGGATGCAAATGTAATCACACCATTAGGATTTTACTCCCCCCTTGTGTATCACAGAAAATTCCTCTCAAAATATAAATGTCACATGATAAAACATGAAGATACTTTTGCATGTCGCTGTATGTAAGCTATGAAAGAACTATGACATTATTTGGTATTGCTGACATCACCAGGTTTCTTGTTTCCATGGCAGCCAGGTGAAGTCTGTGATCTGTCATTTATATGGGAGTCCAAGTCAGTGTTATGATTCATATGTGAAAAACATTTTGTGAATTTGTTGTTTAGTTTCACATGATTTGATGACATGTGCTTTAAGCTTCATAATGACACAAAATAGCCTTCTACAAACATCAAGCCGGTAAATGGGCAGCCCATGTAACATTTATTCAACCAAGACACATATTTAAAATATATACAAAAAGATAAAAAAAAAAAACCAAAAATGTCAACTTAGAATATATGGACTAAAAGTAAACCAACACCAAAGTCAGCTTAGTGACCTTTCAGGGGGGACATTGTCCTTAATTAGCACAGTCTTGTACAACTGCTTCACATATATAGAGTGCAGCAGCAGATGCAGAGGAAATTCAAACAACCCACCACACTCTTTGAGGGAAGTGGTGCTTTCCATGTATTGGAATATTGCTGCTAACTGCAGAGGATATACTTTAGAAGTACAAAAAATAAATCAAGAATCATCTGAACAAAACCCACAGATAAGAGTTGGGGCTTAAGGGTCAATGTGGAAAGAAACAATGCAGGTTCTTAAAGCCTCATCTAAGGTTCAGTTGTAAGTTAGCTATTTTTTTTTTTTTACATGTATGGTTTATCCTCTTAAGTTTTCCTGCCTCCATCTTGCTAAAATAGATACACTTTATGTGATTTTTATCCCGAAGGAAAAGAGAACACTTTCAGCTCTTATAAAGTGAAAAGGTTTGATTTACGAAGACCATCTGTTCTTCTAAATGAAATTTAAAATGAGCCAAAAAAACTCTTTAAAGAAAAACTACAAATTATATTTATACAACTCCCTGGACAGAAATCTTCAAAGTGACAGGAATTATTGTCCAGCAAGTATTTACATGATTATTCTTTTTTGCATAAGCACAATTAGGAAAAACAAGTACTTTTCTCAAAACTCTAAACCATTTGGCTTTAATAGTAGTCAGAAGAGTTCAATTAGGAAGGTAAATGCATCTCCCTTTTTCAACTTAAACGTAAATGCTTTAAATGGTAATGCTGATTAAAGACCAGCTGTGATGATGTGGTTATACTATTTTGCAGGGTATGATGTTGTGGCTACATTACTGTAAAGAAATTAACAGAATAAAAAAAAAAAAAAAGTGATTGTTCTATTCCCCAGTCTTTGATCCAATAGAGTCAGAAAATAGTTCAAGTGCTGTATTCTGGCGCAGCGACTTTCTCCTCATCTGTCGCTCAATCATTAAGTCAAACTCTTGTCTTTCTCTGGAAAAAAAAAAAGAAAAGGACGTTCATCAGTTTGAACACAGGGCTGAGAAATGATTCCTTGTATGATTTTTTAATACTTAAAAACCTACCTGTTACTAATACACCGCCCTCTCAGGTACTTTTCTTCCGCCTTTTTCACAGAAACATTGTCCACCCCAGCAATAGCATAGATGATGGCCTACATAAAAAGGCAAACGTATAAGTGGAAACAAAAAACAAAGAGTCTGGAATATAAAAATGTAATCAATAAAATGTATCAGTCTTTTCTTACCTCAGGTAAGAGAACATCTAGAACAAAAGGGACACGCTCCATTGATTTCACCTTAGCCAGGCATGGGGATTTGGCCACAGCTTCTGCATAGAGCTCATTTAGGTACCAGTAGACCTGGTCCAACTGCTGATCGTCTTCCAAGTAAACATTCACCACTCTTCTCTGTTTGGAACTTAAAAAAGTTTGAAGCCAGCGAGACTGCTGCTGCCCCTGGATCACAGCCTGCAAGCGGATTAACAGGGTAGATTTAGAAAAATGGTTGAGCTTGTTCATTCCAGTTCAAGTTTCATTTGAAATATACTAGCAAAATCCATTGTTAAAATGTTATGATCTATAAAATGATGTTTCCCACTCTAATATATGGCAATTCAACAATGTTCAATTGTTTTAATGTATGAGAAGAACCAACACTTATTCCTACTGCTGCTTAAAACAAACATTTGTATTTAAATTAAATGTATAACATATAACACTTTTTCAACAGAATAGTTATTTTCAGTTCAAATGGTTTTTAGTTGAAGATGAAATCAGTTAATACACATATGATTTGTATTATGCTGATCTATAATATCTACCTTGATTTATAGGAAAATGGGATGCTGTGGGCTTCCTTTCATGTTTTGTTTCTTCTACTATACAGATCTTTACTTTAGAAACATAGGAGTAGTATGATGATGAGTTTTGAAGGGCCTATATCATGCAAAAATGAACTTTTTTGTGTTTTTAATTGTGAAATAGAGCTATTTCTGTACCAAATTCATGCCCAAAGTGTCCTTTTTTGCTTGATTTATGCTCATCTCAGTAATCCTAAATAGAGCCGTCCTCACCCGCCCACTCTAGGGACAAAATCATAAACACCTCCAGTACAGGGAGGGGCACCTGTATGATAAACAAACCCCCACCTTCTCCAATCATTGAGCAGTGATGAGAGGCACAGGGTGGTCACTTCTGCTCAAACCTGACACAAAATGCTCTTTTAACACAGAGGTTATAAACTTTGTTAGGGGCCTAATCACCAGCGGCTATGTGTCATCATTAAATGGGCGGCACCCACACTGGGAGAGGCAGTATCACATTAAAGGCCACTTTTTTTCCTGGGTTGGAAGAAAGTATTTAATTTGAAATAATCCTCTGCAGGCACCGCAGTGCCTTATTTTATCATATACATGCCTAAAGTTGATTTTAGAAGGCTTATAAAGGTAACCTAGCATAAGCCAGATACCATTTAGAATTCAAATTTAACTACACTTATCGATCTAGTGTTCGCAAACTGCAGGGACGTTCAGTAGAATTCTTCGAGCCGATTGGATATCTGCCTCCCATGTCAAGTTTTTAGCGAGTGGCAGCTTGTTTTGTTTCACAACTAGCAGAGTTAACTGGTAAATCAAAGTCTAACCAGATCTGATCGGGTGAAACGTGCAAGCAACCTCCCATCCACAAAGGAAAAATCCCATCCTTTGGCTTGTTTTTTTAAAAAGAAATGGTGGGTATTACAGATGAAACCGTTTGTTTTGCTTCAGCCTTCTGCCTCTGGTGGATGTGTGACATCATACATGTCACTGCATTTCATTGGTCCGAAACATTTCAGTATCGAGGTGAATGCTTCTGCCCTCTACTGGTAAGATGCATTTTTGAGAGTTTTTGAATTCACAAATCTCATGACAAACCATCTTGCTTGAAAGTTAATGATATAGGACCTTTAAAAAAAGAACATAAAAAAAAAAAAAAAAAGACAACAACACCAACTTCTATATAATCCTGTAAGAGTAAACGGCTCACCTACTTCTTGCTTGGACCCCTATCTGATATAACAGGATACAAAAAACCCCCCGCTACATAAGAAGCAACAGGAAGAACCCTACCAGAAGATGTTTCTCCACCATGCGCTTCTTGACGATGAAACGGACCAGCTTCTCATTAGCTCGGTTATGGGCAGCATGCGTTCGGTCTGGCAGCAGTCTCTTTGAGCATGTGGAGGCTTCTTGCTCCTTACCAACACCATCCTCCTTGTGATCTCCACATGGTTCCTCCATGATTATATCACTGGTGATCATTAGTCTATCCGACGCTGCCTGTGGATACTTCCGTCGAACTGGGTAGCCTAGAGCAGAGGGAGAAAAATAATAATTTAGAAATACCAAGTTCATAGGAGTGTGCATGTTTATTGAGGCTTTAGTGTCTGATATACTGACAAAAAAAAAAAAACTAAACAAAAACAACTTACTCATGTCATGATTACAGTACTCAATGAAAGAGCCTGCAAATGAACCGCATGCTTGAAACACAGAGAAGAAAAAGCAATTAGCAGTTGCTACAAATTTAAAGAAGAAAATCACATTTGAGTTATGTGTCAAATAAAGACAAAACGTGTATATTGCTTCATATTTCCATAAATCCCCATCTCCAAAGTTTTGGAGAAACAGCTATAAATAACCTTAAGGTTGACCTGTGAATAATTTTGTCTGATTCCTGCCCTGCTGAGAGGGACAAATAAGCCCGTAACGGTAGCAGAGGCTGTTCACTCTGTATCCTAATGGTCCTTTATTTATGAGCTGCATTTGGTACAATTAACCTTAGGATATACCTTCAATGCCTTAAACAAATTGTTGGACATGAAAACATTAAACTTTCATCTCTCTTGTAAACTCAACATTGAATAGCAATTATGGAACCTTCTGGTTACTGTTAGCCTTGTCCATTGATCATTCTTTTATAATACATATAACAATTTCTGGTACTAAAATCAATTTCGTTGTAAAAAAAAAAAAAAGTGTTTACAGACACATTTAAGCCCAAAATATATAATCAAGGTACCCTTGTAGATTCAACCCAGTTTTACTGACTAAGCTGCTGCCCTCTTCATTTAAAAACCCTTTCCATCTTTACTTAGCAATACGTAAGAGGAAAAGCAGCTGCCTACTTCTACGGTAGGTAATAACTTTTCAGCCTTATGTAACATGGGAGATTGGGCTTTCGCTGCCGCATCCACAGCTCTTAGAAAGACTGGATCCTGTAGTACTGCTAAATCTACAGACAGAAAAAATGACAAAACCCACATTTTCTTTAAGCGAACATTAGGTTCTTAGGGTATTTCTCTATAGTAAAGTTCTTTTTCAAACTTCGCTTGGTGTTTCACTATGGGAATCGCCTTGGCATGTCCAACTACGGAAGCTCCAATGACATCACCTCTGTCTTTGACAGACAGGTTGATCCATGCACGTGGCCCCACCTACCATCCATTATTCAATTCAGTTCATTTATGTAGCGCCAATTCACAATACAAGTCATCTCAAGGCACGTTAGAGAGAAAATTGAACCAGATCACACAGTAAAACTGATTCAAAGTTTTCTAACGAAAACCAGCTACATCGACTCATCGACTTGAAGGTAATTCTTCACACCAAGCATGCTTGTAGCGACAGTGGAGAAGAAAAACTCCCTTTCAACAGTAAGAAACCTCCAGGAAAACCAGGCTCGTTGTGGGCAGCCATCTGCCGAGGCCACCTGGGGTTCAAGGAGACAGGAGCAGACATACAGAAAGAGATACAAAAGGCAACTGTCAACCAGCTCCACAGGCCACCCCATCCAGGAAACACACATCCAGGCAGACAAGCTCCAAGCCAGCTCCCAAAGAGCACATACAGTTAGTCACAGCCAGAAACAGGACTACATTGAAAAACAGGCCAAGCTCCAACATCTATAAACAAAGGTGTTAATGGCAGCAGCCCAGCTGATATTTATCTGCAGGATGGTGTTGCAGCCAAACAAGAACAGAACAGATGAAGCTACTATGAGAAAAAGCAGAGAGCATAAGGTTAGAGATTGAACAAACAAATATTGCAGAGTTGGAGAATAGAGATAGAATGAAACAAAATGATGAAGAAGGGGTCTTTATGTCTTCCAGCAGTCTAAGCCTATAGCAGCATAACTATTGAGATAGCTCAGAATAATCTGAGCCACTCCAACTATAAGCTTCATCAAAATGGAAAGTTTTAAGCCTACCCTTAAAAGTAGACAGGGTGTCTGCCTCATGGACTAAAACTGGTAGATGGTTACAGAGTCCGACATGGTTTTGGCTTGCACACCAAGGCAACACTAAATTTAATGACCACCGATGGGAGTGACTGGGTGTCATGCTGGTGTGAAGAAAAATCTTACTGTATTTAAAACTATCCTTAGCCAGCAGTTTCAGGCACATTTTGATAATGCCTGTTCCGGCCCCCAGCAAACATTTTGAAGGTTGTCGTCGTGTTATGGGTCTGGCTTTCTCAGGGGAAAGAGGCCTATGGTTAAACCTATCAGGCCTGCTGACTCCCAGAAGGCTGAGATTATGGATGCAACTTATGACCTGACAAAAGGTCTATTTGACCCCCTCCTTGGAAAAGAAAAAGAGAGACAAGTACCCTCAGAAGACAGGAGTTAGAGGCTTTTAACTTTTTATCCCACTTACACTACCTTCTGAAAACCGAACTGTTCCGAGTCTGGACCGAGCTTGGATCTGTTAACCATGCTGAGCTGGTTACCTTATGACCATCTACGGTACTACTGGTCTCTAGGGGGAAACGAGCAAACCAACATGGCAGCGCCTGTAAAATTCCGGAAGTTATGTTTTTGTTATCATTCTGATATTTCGTGGTTTGCGGAGAGTCTGGCGAAAAAGGCAGCCTTTTGGTGAACTTACTTGACAGAGTCAACATTTAAGACTTGGATACAAAAATTGACAGTTTAATCAGGGCTTACAGAGGCAGGAAACGACAACGGATGCTGTGGTTCATAAAACTGCTAAGCAGAATCCTCACTGGAAATCGTGTGGCAAGTTAGGGAAGCTTGTATTTTTTATGAATGTCTGCAGTTTCATGATTACGGAGGCTAACTGTAATGAGAAGACCTGGTCTGCTCATGCGCTCTTTGTTGTCTTAGAACCGAGCCAGAACTGAACCGCGTCGAGTCCTACTGATGAACTAGTACCAGTTTAGCGTGGTCCAGTTTTGTCTGGTGCAGTCCGGTTCATTGGGCCTGTCATTTACACCAGCTAAGATTTTAAGTGAGTTGCATATTCTTTCAGTCAGCCCGGCCTGTTTACAGCCAACCCAGTCTCATGGGAAAATGTACCCCCACTACGTTGGTCCACACTGCAAAACGTAGTGGAGGTACATTAATGGCCATTTTTTTGTGGCACTGTTACATTTCTTCTGCCTATACGCTTTCTATTGTTTTACGTCCTAGTCACGTGACTTTCAAGATTCCAGCTGGGAGAAGAAAAAAATATATATAGATGGCCGACATTCGCTCATTTTTTTGTGGAAAGATTAATAACTTGAGTTTGTTTTTGCATTAAAACGAGTTTTGATTACATCTCTAGTGAGAAATGTATAGTTTGTTGTCAGAATATTTACTCAGGGAATGTACATATTCACTTGCTTGTTCGTTTCTTGCAAAGATTTTCAAGATAATGTGAAAATGTAACGTTTTGGTATAAACATGGCTGAGATTTCTCTAACTTTTAATGGGAAAATCAATCATTTCAATCAGTTTCTGCATTTAAATGGGTTTTGATTACATTTATAGCGAGAAGTGTAGGGTTTATTTACATAATATTTACTTAGTGAACATACATAATCACCCGCTTGCTAGTTTTTGCTACGGGTTTTCGGATCTCGTCAGGATTATGTGAAATTGCAACGTTTTGGCTGCTACCCATCGCCTAGCATTTAGCTGCCGCCCCGATTCAACATTGAATTCTTTGTGATTTAACTCCATCTGACGGATCAAACCCTCGCCACTGCGTGCGTTGCGTCTGAGGTTGATTTTCAGATCAATGCTTTACGTCGTGGCATACGGGAGAAAATAATGTTGAAAAAATGATCATGGGTTAAGATCGGATGTGTTAAGGACAGGCCAAGAATAGAGTCTTAAAGGATTATTGGGAAATAAAGGAAATATAAAAGATATTTATAGATTAAGGAAAGCATTATTTATTTATCTTCAGAATACAAAATAAAAAATTGAATTTAATAGATGTAAAACAATGTTGCTACACACTCATGAACAGTAGGTGGCGGTATGCACGCCCCTTCCAGTGAGCCCGTGGGACCGAAAACATTTTGAATGGAAATCAATGGGGAGAAATTAATAAACTTCTGGTCCCAGTCGCTCTCTGTCATTGATTCCAGATATGCTGGTTGTGTATTTAAATTGTTTTGGTTTTTTTGAGTTCCTCTTTGGTCAAAATCTGGTCAAAACCCATCAATGAGATCGCACCAAACAGGAAGTTAAATGCACAAAGGATCCGGTAGATTTCCAAATAAAACACATCCGATCTTAACCCATGATAATTTTTTCAACATTATTTTCTCCCGTATGCCACGACGTAATGCATTGATCTGAAAATCAACCTCAGACGCAACGCACGCAGTGGCGAGGGTTTGATCCGTCAGATGGAGTTAAATCACAAAGAATTCAATGTTGAATCGGGGCGGCAGCTAAATGCTAGGCGATGGGTAGCAACCAAAACGTTGCAATTTCACATAATCCTGACGAGATCCGAAAACCCGTAGCAAAAACTAGCAAGCGGGTGATTATGTATGCTCACTAAGTAAATATTATGTAAATAAACCCTACACTTCTCGCTATAAATGTAATCAAAACCCATTTAAATGCAGAAACTGATTGAAATTATTGATTTTCCCATTAAAAGTTAGAGAAATCTCAGCCATGTTTATACCAAAACGTTCCAGTTTCACATTATCTTGAAAATCTTTGCAAGAAACGAACAAGCAAGTGAATATGTACATTCCCTGAGTAAATATTCTGGCAACAAACTATACATTTCTCACTAGAAATGTAATCAAAACTAATTTTAATGCAAAAACAAACTCAAGTTATTAATCTTTCCACAAAAAAATGAGCGAATGTCGGCCATCTATATATATTTTTTTCTTCTCCCAGCTGGAATCTTGAAAGTCACGTGACTAGGACGTAAAACAATAGAAAGCGTATAGGCAGAAGAAATGTAACAGTGCCACAAAAAAATGGCCATTAATGTACCTCCACTACGTTTTGCAGTGTGGACCAACGTAGTGGGGGTACATTTTCCCATGAGACTGGGTTGCTACAGCGGGCACCAGGGCTGTCCAAAGTGTGCTTGAGACCCAACCCTGCTTTTGTGCCAAAGGTGTTGGAGTCATCATACAGGTGTTTAATGGTGGAATTGCTGGCATTCCATCCATCCCCCTTCACTTCAGCAGAAGCTTGATTACTTATGTCCAACAGGAGCTTTAAGAGCTTATGTGGACAGGACAGCCTGTTTTAGAAGAGCTGGCCATCTGTTTGTGTCCTGGACTACTGCTCATAAGGGCAAAACCATCTCCCGCCAAAGATTATCACACTAGATTGTGGAGACTATTACCCTGGCATATAGGTGTGCAGGCTCACCTAACCCCCTAAAGGTATGAGTGCCCATTCTACCAGGATTATAGCCACCTTATGGGCTTTTTTCCTTTGTGTGTCAGTTAAGGACATCTGTACTGCAGCCAGTTAGACTACAGTGTACACATTTATGAGGTTTGACAGGCTGGATGTGGCTCAGCAATCCCTAGTGCACAAAGTACTAGGAGTAGGGGCCTCAAGGTCCACCTGAGGCCTGGATTGGGATTCCAAACATGCATGGCTTCAGGGTAATCATGCAATCCGGAGTGGGACAAATCTCCTATAGTGAAACACCGAGCTAAGTTAGAAAAAGAATGTTAACGTAATCCCTGGTTCTTTGATAATAGAGTGAGGGGTTTTACCAACACATCCCCTCTTGCATGGGCACGGAAAGAAACCTAACTAGAATGAGTTGAGGCTGGTAGGTTGGCTGCGATAATGGTTGATGGGTGGAGCCACGGGCACGGCTCAAACTGTCTGTCACTGACAGATGCGATGTTATGGGAGCATTTATAGCTGGTCAGGCCAGTGAAACACCTCAGTCCGTTATCAAAGAACCAGGGATTACGTTCAGTAACTCAACAATTTACTTTGGCATGCTGCTTGTTTTATTTCTCTTCATTTCAATTTATAATTTTATCCTTATAATCTTTTCCCTTATATGCTTCATTTTTGTTTTTGTCTCGGGTTCATTGTCAGAGTACTTTACTGTTTATTGAGCGGAAAAATTCTTGCATGCATGGATATCCATGCTAGCTGCAACTCTCCCATTCTGTATGGTAGAAATTCAAGCGTGTAAAAGCAACACTCAAACCTTTAGCCACTACGAACACTATATTTATACCTAGAGGTTTAGCAAACCTGAAGGCCACTGGTAACACCGCACTGTCACAGAATTAAACAGTCTCCTCCATGTTTTGGACCCGATTTCAGACTTTGAACCAACAAACTGAGAACTAAGTTAATACTTGAGTCAAAGGGTACAGAATAATAGCACTATTATTCCTACTAACCAATACGGATTCTGTAGTCTTCTATAAATTCCAAGGACCACGTAATTGCAGCCTCATACAACTCTTTGGCTTTTTGCTGGGAAAGGAAACAAACCATCATTGTCAGGAAAACAGTCTTCATGAATCAAACAAGCAGTGCAGAGACCTCTTACCATCAGCTCATCTGCTTCTTCACAGTCAAAGGGTATCAAAGATTTCAGAGGCAATGTGAACCTTCAAGAACAGAAACGGTGGTTGAAAGATAAAGTCTGTAATGTTATCAATGTTCAACTGATCGTGATGTGTATGATTATAAGAAAAAGTTATCTGGCAAAAAGCTCCAATAGAGAACAGAGAAGCAGATTTATTTTGTTCTTACCCTTTCTTATTCTGAATCCCTGTGAAGGCTTGGTCAACAAACATCACACTTGCTTTCTTCTGTTTTCGGTTCACATTTTTTACCTGCACAGAAAACATCACACTTTAATAAATGTCACATTGAAGCATCAGACAGGTTTATTTCTGGTCAGTTATTAGTAAAAAGTATACCAAAGTAAGAAAAAATAAATCAAAAAAAGTTTCGTAAATTCAAAAAACTATATACACATTACAGAGAAGAGAAACTATATGGATTGATGGATTGCTGCAGAAGGGCCTGATACAATTCCCAGTGAATAGAGGCACTGGGAAATAATCTGATGTAGAAATATTTAGGCTACATCTGAAAACGGCAGACAGAATAAAGTTAAAGTTAAAGCAGCATGGGTCAGTGACCCTAAGCGCCACCAGACTGGGGTGTAATTATTCCAGACTCCATCACACCGGATCTGTCAGTAGAAGTTATCCCAAACCACAGTAAACCATTGTGAGATAACAATTTAGAAAATAGTCTTATTAAATAGATGCTAAGATAAAGTGTTGCATATAGTATCCCTTACCAATGCAGGCCAGTAAGGGTAATTTCTACATTTGCCCCAAACAAACGCTCCTTCTGTGATAGAGGGAGGTTCTGAAAGACAACGGATATAAAATAAATAAAAGATATAAGATAAATATACAAGATAAATAAAAGATATAAAATGACACCAGATTCGGTTCTTTTAAAAAGTTACTGTAGTTTTTTCCTCACTATTGACTTTCTGCATCAAGAAGCTTGGCAGTTCTTCCTCCTCCTCATCCTCGCTCTCATCTTCTTGCATGGACAGAGAGGGAAGCTGTTCCTCATAGTGACTCAGTTCGATTGACAGATCTGAAGACAACAAAGACTCATCTTTTTTGGGAATAGAGAGAAAATGAGATAAAGGAGTTAGAGGGGATTCTGGTATCCCGAAAATTTACAGGTAAGCAACATTGCAGCATGCCTCTAAAAATAATTATATAAAAAGCACTTCATAGTAAACTGCAATTTAAATCTGAAGCAGACAAAAGTGCTATGCAAAAATAACTTATTGTCAACTGATATTTCTTTCAATCATATTGAGACAAACAAGACTTTACCTTGCTCAGGTGCATCAGGCTTCTGAAGCTCAAGCTTAGTCTTTAGGCGTTTGGATGGCTGAATACTGTATTTTTCCTTCACATCTTCAGTCTCATTTTTTGGCTTCCTACCACGCCGAGGCTTGGTCACAGTCCCGTTTGCCTTAGTTTGCTCTGGAGCTTGTGTTCGTCTACCTTGTTTTGGCTTAGAAACAGGGTAGGTCCTTTTTCGACATCTTGGCTTGGGCCGTGGCGATTCTGCCTCTACAGTCTGCAAATACACAAAAGAGGATTACATTTGAACAAAGTGTTTAACTTTTAATCCCCTGTTTTTTTAAGTTTTGATTTGCCAATGCCAATTTTAGCCTATATTTATATAAGGATGACCAAGAACCGCAAAGTATTTGTTTCGTTCCTTCCTGCCATGAGTAATCATTTATATTAGGATCAAAGGTAATGAAATTATATTTGCAATTGAACAAAATGCAATTTTAAAAGATCGCAATCATTTTGGTCAAATTACATTTAAAAAGAGTGAGACACCAACCTTCTCGCATTAGCCCTTTACCTGGCTGTAGTACATTTAAAGCTGGTCTTTTACCATACAGAATGGGAGAGTTGCAGCTAGCATGGATATCCATGCATGCAAGAATTTTTCCGCTCAATAAACAGTAAAGTACTCTGACAATGAACCGGAGACAAGCAAGCTTTCTAAGTCATGAAAAGAATGCAAGCCTGGAGTTAAATATCTACATACTTGTGGGTAGTACAAAGGAAAATCTAAATAAAATCGCAACATTGGATGAAACTAAATAACACAGTTTAGCTTTTTGTTTAGCTCTAATGTCAAATATCGGTTTGCAAAAGCGAAAGAAGTAAAAAAGATTTGGAGTTGAAATTTCAAACTTCTTTAGCATCCTACATTTTAATTTAGCACAGCTTGTCATCTGTAGGGATACTCTTTTTACCAAAACACCTGTAAATGTTTCTTAGAACCTCTTAAGACTTTTAGCTTTATTGCAATAAATGCAACTAAAAAACACTATGAACTTAAAAATTCATATCACCATGGACCCTTATGGAATTCCTAAAGAACATCAAATGCATCACATTAACATGTATGGTATTAGTATGATGAATTAATTGAGGGAACAAAATAAATCTATTATAATTTTTCAAAAGGAATGTCCATCTCCAAAACTACACTTGAAAAATATCTAAATCTAGATAAGTTGTTTTTTACTTAAAATAGGTGTATTTGTTCTTGGATCGAGGAGGTAAAAGAGACATCTTGCCAACCGCTCAAGACAATTTACACTTAAAAGAAGAAAACACAATTGCATTGTCTTACTTCAAGTGCATATTATCTAATTATCTTATTTTAAGAGTAAAAATACTCAGTCCATTGGCAAACTATCTCATTTCCCTCCTCAAATTAAGGGTAAATACAGTTAATCTAAGACATTTTTTACTTTCTTTCTACATCATTTTTCCAATGTATACAGTACGCTTATTTGCAGAGAAAGCACCAGTCTGTAAAAAACAAGGTTCACCCCTCACCTTTGCTTGAGTAATGTGTTCAGTGAACTCCAGCTTCTCTTCATCAGCTTCAGTAGAGGAGGGTAATGTGCTGGATGTGGAGGAGTTACGGACAGGTGTTGAAGTCAAGCTGCCTCCTTGTATCCGTCTCCTTGCTCCCCTGCCTCTCTTAGGTGTATTTGGTACAGATTTAAGAGTGGACAAATTGAGAGGGGGGAGGTGATCGAAAATGGACACTTCTGCAGATGGAGACGGGATCTTAGTGCAGACGTCCATCTCTTTAGATTCATTTTTTGGCCTGCCTGAAAGACAATGCAAGGATAGGATCATGTGACTACATTTAAAAAAAGTCTTAACTACAAAATAACCAGAGAAAGCTTCAGAAGCTGCAGTTGATGGATTGTTACCTCTGGTTCTCATGGCTCAGTGTGGTCCTATCATTGAAAGGATGTCCTTTGAGTTCATTGGATGAAAAAAAACTGATTAACCTTAGATGAACATGAGTACAGAAGCCACATTTATGATGATGAGTTTCATTTACCTGTCAGACAGCTTTATAAATGCAGGAGGAAATTACTAACCAGCTGGTTCTAAATATGTTGCCTAACTCTGCCAACAAAGTATTCATCTGTTGATGTTTACAGTTGAGGTTATTTAACAATAATCAAGGTATATTGGCGTCTAAATATAAACAACTAAATAAGCGCACGCGGGCTTGTTTATTTTTCAGTCATTCGAAAATGAACGTATTTAAAGGTACAGTGTCGGCTAAAGTGAATTAATTTCAACTTAAAAACAACGTACACAAAGTGGAATGAATCAAATCACAAGTTAATTGCCCAAATGGATGAATTTAGCAAGAAAAAAGTGAACTCACCTCAAGTTGTAGATTTTTCAGAAACCCAGGACCATCAGGCGTCACGGTACCTGCTCATATTTCCTGCTCCACCAGTTATTACGGGTAGGGAAAGAAACGTTTATAAAACTAGCCTAGTAGTGCACGGAAAAAATGAAAGCAAACCGTCATACACACAAATTCCTGTTTTGGAGGCATCATTCTCTGGCTGTGAAGCGCTCTGGAGGAATGAGTCTAACGCCACCTAGTGTTCTGGAGGGGAAATGGACTATACGCCAAACTCCATCACTTCCATGATTTCAGCCAGCTTCTTTGCTTCCTGTCTTTCATTACTGGACAAACTGATTAATCCAGGTGTGTCTGGCTAATGTTGTCATGGTTACCGAGGTCAGACACACCTGGATTAATCAGTTTGTCTGGTAATCAAAGACATAAAATAAAGAAGCAGGCTGAAGTTTAGAAATAGAACAACAGAAGAACAAGAAGAAACCGCGGAAGATTGTTGCTGAGGAACGTTGGTCGTTTGGTGCATGGCGCGTGTTTTGAAGCTGCTCTGCTTGTGGAGAAATGTCCTGGGCCGTGAGTAGTGAGGAAACAGGAAGCGATTCTTGTGGGATGGAAGAGGGAAATAGTGACAATGAAGGTTGGAAGATAGCAGCATCAAAAAATGAGAAAAAGCGGAAAAAACAGAGATCAGTTAAAGGGGAATCTAGTTCAGAACAATCCAGTGATGATCAATCCATACATTCCACAGCACAACAAAATGAATTCAAAGTCATATTCAAAGTCGTTAATCAGGCAGACTCTTTTACAAACTGGAATCCGGTTCACTTAACAAAAACCATCAATAAACTTGTTGGAGAAGTCAGAGGTGCCAGAATTCTGTACAGTGGAGACCTGCTAATTAACTGCAGAGACAGCGCCCAGCAAGGCAAAGCAATACGTATTAACAAAATTGACGGGATAAGAGTTCAGTGCAGCCTAATGGAGAACAAAAAGATCAGCAGGGGAGTCATTGGAGGAGTTCCTCTGAAAATTTCTGAAAAAGAGATTCTGGAAAACATAAGCGGTGCAAAAGTAAAAGAAGTAAAACGGTTAAAAACAACAAGAAACGGAGAAAGATCTGACAGTTTATCTGTACTAATTAAATTCGAGGAAGAGCAATTACCAAGCAAAGTATTCATCGGTTACATCAGTTACAATGTCAAAATCTACAATCCACCACCATTGAGATGTTTCAAATGTCAAAAATTCGGACACATTGCAGCAGTTTGTAAAGGGAAACAGAGGTGTGGAAGGTGTGCAGGAGAACATGAATATGGTAAATGTGGAAAAGAAGCTAAAATAAAATGCTGTAATTGTGGTGGAGAACATACTGCTGCTTATCGCGGCTGTGAAGCAAGCAAAAGGTCTGAAGAAATAAAAAAAATGAAATTTGAGCTTGGAATAACTTATGCTGAAGCTGCAAAAAGGATCCCATCTCAGTCAGAAAAACCCAAACCTACAGTTCAACACACGGCAAATTTCAAACCTCTAGAGAAATCTCCAAAAATTGATGAAGACTCACTAATTGTTAAAAAGACAAATTTTGTTCTTTTCATGGTGGAAGTGATTAATTGTACTGCTCAGACGACAAAAAAAACAGAAAAAATCAAAATAATAGTGAAGGCTGCAGAAAAATATCTGGATGTTAAAGATATGAACTGGGAGATGGTTGGAAGCATGATGGAAAGACCAATGGGACCATCAGAAACTGGCAGAGGTACGATGACCTAGAGTAAATTAAAATTATACGGGCAAATGTAATTTAGTATAATTTAGTATTATGTGGGTTTAAGTTACACAGGTTATTTTATTGTATTTTTTTTTTTTTTTTTTTTTTTTTTTTTTGGGGGGGGTGAATCGTTTCCTGTTTCCTTGCTTTACTCCATATCAGTTGGTGGCGGTAATGCACATTTCACAAGTTTGCCAACCGCCATAAAATCTCATAAGAAGAAGAAGTTTAGAAATAGAACAAATAATGGATAAGAAACAATTGGTCTGTATTAATAATGGAGAAGGGACAAGAATTGATATTAGAAATGGAAATGAATCAGCGCTAGATCTAACTCTAGTATCAGCGAATTTTGCTGGGATTAGTAATTGGAAAGTTTTAAAAGAATCAACATTAGGAAGTGATCATTATCCTATTGTTATTGAAATCGGTTTAGAAATAGAGAAAGTTGTTAATAAAAATATAGAAAAATTAAATTTTAAAAATGTTGATTGGGAAAAATATAAAATAATAAGTGATGGAAAAATGCTAAAGGTTAATTTAAATTTGGATATAGATAGCATAAATTCTTCTATCTGCGAAGCTATTTTAGGAGCGGCCCAAGGAACGATTCAAAAGAAAAAAGGAAAATATAAGAGAAAAATAGTTCCATGGTGGACAAAGGAATGTGATTTGGCAATTAAATCTAGAAATAAAGCTTTTAGACTGTTAAAGAGAAATCAAAATTTTGAGAATTTGTTGGCATATAAAAAGTCACAAGCTTTGGTTAAAAGAACAGTAAAAAGTGCTAAAAGGGTTTCTTGGGGAAATTTCTGTAATTCAATAGGAAGGGAAACAAATATTTCAAAAATCTGGGGAATGATTAAACGAATGAATGGAATTAGAAGGGAATATGGTTATCCAGTTCTTAAGAATGGAGATGAAATGGCTCTAAATGATGAGGACAAGGCAAATATGCTGGGTAGGAAATTTGTTGGAATACATAGTAGCAAAAACTTAAATATAGAAGAAATAAGGAAAAGAGCTTCTATTATTAAGGAAAATAGTAATTTATTAGAAGTAGATACAGAATATAATGATCTATTGAATAATTCCTTTTCATTATTTGAATTGAACAACTCTTTAAGGAAAACAAAAATTTCTTCTCCAGGAAAAGGCAATATCTCTTATATTATGATTAAAAAACTTAGTAATTCATCTAAAAAGATATTATTAGATTTCTTTAATAAGATATGGGAAGAGGGTTATTTACCTGTGGCATGGAAGGAAGCAATTATAGTTCCAATTTTAAAACCAGGGAAAGAGAAGTCAAATCCTACAAGCTATAGGCCTATTGCTTTGACATCACATATATGCAAAATAATGGAAAGAATGATAAATGAAAGGCTGAGTTATTTTGTGGAGAAAAAGGGGTTTTTGTCAAAATTTCAGAGTGGATTCAGAAAAGGTAGAAGTACTATGGACCCTGTTTTGTGTTTAGAACATGAAATCAGAAAAGGACAAGTTAATAAGGAGAGTGTGGTGGCTGTCTTCTTCGACATAGAGAAAGCCTATGATATGATGTGGAAAGAAGGTTTTTTAATTAAATTAAGAAAAATGGGGGTTAGAGGATCAATGTTTAATTGGATAAAAGATTTCTTACATAATAGATCTATACAAGTAAGAATAGGTCAACAATTGTCAGAAAAATATTTTGTTGAAAACGGAACACCTCAAGGAAGTATTGTGAGTCCTTTGTTTTTCTCTATTATGATTAATGATATGTTTGATAAGTTAGAGAGTGGGATGGGTTGTTCATTATTTGCTGATGATGGAGCAATCTGGAAGAGAGGTAAGAACTTGAAATTTATAGTTAAAAAATTACAAGAAGCAATTTATAGTATAGAAGAGTGGTCATATAATTGGGGTTTTAAAATTTCAATAGATAAGACAAAGACTTTATTTTTCACTAGGAAGAAAGTATCTAGTGATTTAAAATTGTATTTGTATAAACATGATTTAGAAAGAGTAAAGGAGTTTAAGTTTCTGGGTTTGTGGATGGATGAAAAACTGACCTGGAGTAGTCATATTCAAAAAGTAGTAGACAAGTGTAAAAGAGTTTTAAATGTTATGAGGTGTTTGGTGGGGAGAGAGTGGGGCGCTGAGAGGAAAGCGTTAAAATCAATATATACGGGTTTAATAAGATCTGTATTAGATTATGGCAGTCTGGCATTTGGATCAGCACCAGAAACACTTCTTAAAAAATTAGATATTATTCAGTTTCAAGCTTTGAGGTTGTGTACAGGAGCCATCAGAACAACTCCGATCTCAGCTCTGTTAGTTGAAATGGGGGAAATACCACTTTATCTTAGAAGATTACAGTTAAGATTATCTTACTGGAGTTATTTAAAGGGTCATTATAAAAACCATCCATGTCAAGAAATTTTAAAACCTAGTTGGGAAAAAGGGAAAAAGACTTTAAAATCCTTTGGTTGGGAGATAGAAAATGATGTTAAAAATTTTCAGTTATCATCCATAAAAATGAGTGATACAGTTCCTCTGCCATTGGTTCATCCATCTCTATTTAATGAAATCATTGTGGACTTATCGTTGTTTAAGAAGAGGGAAAAAGGAAATTTTTCAGAATCTCGCTCAGTCCAATCATATATAGAAAATAAATATTTTGGTTATGTTCAAGTGTATACAGATGCATCTAAAAGCCTAAGTAACAACAATGGGGTGTCATTTATCGTCCCAGAATTTAATATTAAAAAATGTAAGAGGATTTCTGATGACGTATCAGTGTTTACAGGGGAAAGGGATGGGAATTATTTTGGCTTTGAGTTGGATTGAAGATGTTCGTCCTCTAAGAAGTTTAATTTGCTCTGATTCAAGCTCATCATTATATTCAATTAAAAATAATCATTCCAATAGTAGACCAGACCTTCTATTGGAGATTCAGTTAATACTTTATAGAATTCAGACCATGGGATTAATTGTCATTTTTACATGGGTTCCATCTCATATAGGAGTAATAGGAAATGAATTGGCAGACAGATATGCAAAACAAGCTTCAAAAAACAGTTGCATTGAGATACTGATTCCATTTAGTAAAGAGGAGATAAAATCTATTATAAAACAAAAGGTTAAGGAAAGATGGCAGAAGCAGTGGGAGGAGGGAAGAACTGGTAGATGGCTTTATAGCATTCAAAGGAAAGTTGGGGTAATGAGGGGAACAGGAAGAAGTAGAAAAGAAGATAATATCATATCCAGGTTACGTTTTGGTCATACAGGCTTAAACAGTACATTATTTATAATGGGAAGACATCCATCAGGAAATTGTGAATTTTGTTTTCAAAAAGAGACAGTAGAACATGTTTTGTTGTTTTGTCCAAAGTACTCTGAGGAGAGAAGGAAATTAGAATATCGACTTCTAAAGAATAAGTTACAATTAAAAATATCAGATATGTTGGGATATTGCTCCTCTTCTGAATATTTACGTCATTTATTAAGATTTCTTAAGAAAACTAAACTGATAGAAAGGATTTAGTTTTTTTTTTTTAGGTTGCGTCCTGATCCACACTCCTTACCAGTAGGTGGCGGTAATGCACACCAATAAGTTGCTTGTCAACCGCCATTAAACAAGAAGAAAGAAAGAAAGAAAGAAAGAAAGAAGGCATGTGGATGGTCGTTTGGTGCATGGCGCGTGTTTTGAAGCTGCTTATGGAGAAATGTCTTGGGCCGTGAGTAGTGAGGAAACAGGAAGCGATTCTTGTGGGATGGAAGAGGGAAATAGTGACAATGAAGGTTGGAAGATAGCAACATCAAAAAATGAGAAAAAGCGGAAAAAACAGAGATCAGTTCAAGGGGAATCTAGTTCAGAACAATCCAGTGATGATCATTCCATACATTCCACAGCACAACAAAATGAATTCAAAGTCATATTCAAAGTCGTTAATCAGGCAGACTCTTTTACAAATTGGAATCCGGTTCACTTAACAAAAACCATCAATAAACTTGTCGGAGAAGTCAGAGGTGCCAGAATTCTGTACAGTGGAGACCTGCTAATTAACTGCAGAGACAGCGCCCAGCAAGGCAAAGCAATACGGATCAACAAAATTGACGGGATAAGAGTTCAGTGCAGCCTAATGGAGAACAAAAAGATCAGCAGGGGAGTCATTGGAGGAGTTCCTCTAAAAATTTCTGAAAAAGAGATTCTGGAAAACATAAGCGGTGCAAAAGTAAAAGAAGTAAAACGGTTAAAAACAACAAGAAACGGAGAAAGATCTGACAGTTTATCAGTGCTAATTAAATTTGAGGAAGAGCAATTACCAAGCAAAGTATTCATCGGTTACATAAGCTATAATGTCAAAATCTACAATCCTCCACCATTGAGATGTTTCAAATGCCAAAAATTCGGTCACATTGCAGCAGTTTGTAAAGGGAAACAGAGGTGTGGAAGGTGTGCAGGAGAACATGAGTACGGAAAATGTGGAAAAGAAGCTATAATAAAATGCTGTAATTGTGGTGGAGAACATACTGCTGCCTATCGCGGCTGTGAAGCAAGCAAAAGGTCTGAGGAAATTAAAAAAATGAAATTTGAGCTCGGAATAACCTACGCTGAAGCTGCAAAAAGGATCCCATCTCAGTCAGAAAAACCCAAACCTACAGTTCAACACACGGCAAATTCCAAACCTCTAGAGAATCAAAAAATTGATGAAGACTCACTTATTGTTAAAAAGACAAATTTTGTTCTTTTCATGGTAGAAGTAATTAATTGTACTGCACAGACAACAAAAAAAAACGGAAAAAATCAAAATAATAGTGAAGGCTGCAGAAAAATACCTGGACATTAAAGATTTGAACTGGGAGATGGTTGGAAGTATGATGGGAGGACCGATGGGACCATCAGAAACTGGCAGAGTTAAGATGACCTAGAGTAAATTAAAATTATATGGGCAAATGTGATTTAGTATTATGTTGGTTTAAGTTACACAGGTTTTTTTTTTTTTTTTTTTTTTTTTTTTTTTTTTTTTTTTTTTTTTTTTTTTTTTTTTTTGGGTGAATCGTTTTCTGTTTTCTTGCTTTACTCCATATCAGTTGGTGGCGGTAATGCACAATTCACAAGCCTGCCAACCGCCATAAAACCCCATAAGAAGAAGAAGAAGAAAGAAAGAAAGAAAGTTTAGAAACCCAGCAGAAATGGTGGCAGTTATACTAAGCTTACAATGGATAGAGGAGGTTAGACAAGACAGGATGGTGGTCTGTACAGATTCCAGAGCAGCTTTAGAAAGCATTCAGGGAGAAGGAAATTATAGAAAAGATTTAATATTAAAAACCCATCACGGTCTATTTAGATTATATAGGGGTGGTATTGATATTTGGTTATGTTGGGCTCCAGCACATGAAGGTGTAAAAGACAATGAAAAAGGAGATATACTAGCAAAAAGGGCTTTAGAGGGAACAATAGCAATTACAATTCCTTTTGGGAAAGGGAAAACTGAATCACTTATAAGAGTAAAGAAATTGAAAAATGGCAAAAGAGATGGAACGAAGATAAGAAAGGAAGAGGTTTATATAAGGTACAAAAATCAGTATTAAATAGAATCACTAATGAGAGAAACAGAAGGCTAAGGACCCCTAAACTGATGGCGAGATGGAGTGGGGACCCCCTAATTATATATAATGTATGAAATTGTGTTATATCAAACAAGTCCTATAGTCACTCTATTACATATGGAGTAATGTAACGAAAGTAATTTCGCCCTGGGATTATTAAAGTATTTCTGATTCTGATTCTCATTGATGGGACAGGTGTTGTGAATGAAATGGTGCCCAGCTTGAAAGAGCTCCTGTGTGTGTCGCTGAATGTGTGCACTGATGACAGAAAGACATCTTATGCCTTCAATTGTCTGTTTACTACAGTGTGTTGAATTCACGTTAATGTGGATTTAAAGACATTTTAATTAGTGGAGAAAATTGCAAGGGGGAATATAACAAAAAGTTTAATCAACCAAAACCTTTCGACCCCCATGCAGAACCTCTGCGGACCCCCTAAGGGTCGCGGACCCCTGTTGAAGACCTCCGCTCTAAGGGATTGCCCAGCCACCCTGAAGAATAAACTAATTTTAGTCGCTTGTCATATTTTAAAGAAGTCATATTTTAAAATGTACATCTCTGGATTAAAGTAATATTTTATATATTTCATTACAGAGACGATCTGACCATTTTTTTTAAACAAGTTTGACGTTTGGCTTTATAAAGGATTTTTTAAAACACAGTCCTTATTTTGTTACATTTTGCAATACAACTTATTTACCAGCAGAGGGCACTGTGTTACTGCTTATTATGGTGAGCTTCTGAATGGAGGAGAATGTAAATCAATTAAGATTCATTCACCTACAGTTATATGAGGCTTCACAAACTGGGATCATGAGAATACGTACAAAAGAAGGTTTGGGTGCATAACTGACATTAACTCTGGAGTCCATTACACAACAGTGAAATACTTGTGACTTAAGTTATAATAATATGGAAATTTAGGCAACACTAGTTGATTTTCGGGCCTCTTTGAAGGTCAGTTACATTTAAAATACAGAACTTTTTATACATTATATTTATACTATATATATATACATATATATATGACACCTGTTCATCTGTTATTTACTCCACCCTGTGTTTTAGGCCTAGCTGGCTTGGCAGCCATTTAATCAGGTGACGTAAAGGTTATGATTTTAATCTATGCTCTACGCTCTGGATTACCCATAATTCCAAGCCGTAATGTAAAAAAAAAAACTAAAATACATTGTTCTTTAAGATCTTTATTGTGGTTTGAAACATATTATAAGAGTTTTTTTTTTTACCAACAGTCTAATGAACTATACATAGTTATTAACATAGTAATTAAAAGTACCACTGTATGCTTTGCTATTGGTGTCGTGTTTAAACGGCTCACCATCATGTTGAAATTTGCCATATGTTGGGGTATAAATAAGGTATGGTCAACCCAAAGTAGAAACAGGTGGGTGTAAGAGAAATTTTTCACACCATTACATCTGCAAAGAGACGTCCTAATCTACAATTGGGCCCCTAAGAGGTCAGGGCAGAGGCGTAGCCAGAACATTTTTATAAGGGTGGCCAAGAACTAACCAATGTACACTGAGGGGGGGGCGAAAGTGGATAGGCGCCAGAACCTCAGGGTCAATCTATACTATTGCAACAGGAAAATCAACAAGCACAACATCAATATTCTCTAAATAAAGACAAGCTATACTTGCCTACAGCCTGTGCTAACAAATAGACACATATATTTCAACATCCGAACTTTTTAGATAAAACGTATAGTGGATACAAGGTTTGAATTCTGGGGCAAACATCTCTTCCTTTGTCATTACTTATCTACTTTTATCAACAATTATTCTGCATAAAATTGATATTTACAAGTGCTAATATATACACAAATTGACTATTACGTTTTTATTAAAATATTTATTTATGATTTCACTGAAGACACCTAGATGACATTCATAGACACATAATTTTCTCTTTACCCCTATAACACAAAATATAGTTCTGAAAACAGCATGAATTATCATCTTTAATGTTGTTCTACTGATGTGCATAACTAACTTCGTTGTCAAGTAATTAATATATAAAAAATGTAAATGTTTTGAAAATTCCACTTGAGAGTATTACTGCTGCCACCATCTGTATTAAGGCTGATTTATACTTTGAAACTAGGTCCCCTGCGTAGGTGTCGCAGTGAACAAAAATCCATCCCCGCCCCCTCCACAGGCACTCCGCTGCATCTCTTCCAAATTATGACTGACTGCAGACAGTGCCGTAGACAGGAGGCTGGCTTGTTTTGTTTTTATGATCGAAATTGCAGAAAACAACTCGTGAATTTTGACCAGCCAGAAGATCGAGGTGCGCGAGAATGCTGGGACCCTTTTTCCAAATGGATCCCCGCTCTTTTTCGCTGTCATGTCCCTCCGTTGTGGGACTTAACTCGCCCCCACTTCCTCTTTGCCTCGGCCATATCTAAACCCAAAGCGTGTAGCACAGTCCATGCTTCAATATTGAGCATAAATCAGAAATGTCTGCGTCAAGCTCACTGTGACACACTGCTGCAGAAGTATAACCAGCCCAGAGGGGAAAAAATGGTAGGGATGGCTATGGTCACCCAATCATTGGCCACCCCTACCTGGCCCCTCATCTAGCTCCGCCCCTGGGTCGGGGTCCCCTAGGCAACTGAAGTCTCTGTATATATATATATATATATATATATATATATATATATATATATATATATGGAACCTTTGGATGTGTGATTGGCCTGAGGTGGATGAGGGGCAGGTTGGCCCCGCCCTCATCCAGATGTGAGTCGCGCTCCTCAGTCCATCGCTGCTGCAGCAGAGTGCGGGCTGAAGGGAAGTCAACAGGAGGGTGCGCATGAGTCCATTTAAAGTCTCATGAGCGAGGGGCAGACTAATGTTGCTAAGCTGTTTTTTTTTTTATCTGGTTCATTTTAAAATGTTTTGAACATGTTCTATTTTTCTCATCGGCTCGCTGGACTTCATCCAGGAGGAGTCAGGTTTACCTGAACACGTTGAGCTTGAGAGCTGATGGAGAGAGGCAGGGCTGAGCGCGGTGCCACTCCAGCGCGCTGAGCAGGGATTTCATTCAGCGCGCAGCGCAATCTGCCGCATGACCTGTGCGTCTTTTCTCAGCCATTCAACTATTTGTGCTTAAATTTCCACCAAAAAGAAAAGGCAAAGGAGCCTGTTTTGTTTCCCTGCCAGCTTAATGGGGATCACCCCTCTACCACATGCATCTGGCCACGGCGTAAGGTGTACCTCAAGCGACCTGCAGGAGCGTCTAGTTAATTGAAATCGATCCACTGGTTTGTTTTTTTGAATGTGAAGCAGCGGCAGAAGGTTTTACTCCTCCTCCTCTTCCTCATCCTTCCCCATCCTCTTACCTCCAACATGACTTCCCTATCGGGGACTAAGGAGAGGAGCAGCCGGAGCAGAAAACATGGGGTAGGTTTTTATTTCTAAATTCCAAATGAGTTGATGCTTCTTTATGAGTAAGGAAGGAAAATCTAAAAGCTTACCCATTCAGTCCCTGCACCACCCTGCTACACTAGAGTGTTGTCTGGTTCAATTCTCAGCCACTAATAAATATAAAACCTGATGACAGCTCTCATTAGATTTGTGTCCACGCATACTTCACTGCTCATGGTGTCACAACAATGGGTTTTAATTCATCACTAAGACCAGCTTCATCTCTTTAATTATCACCCCAAGTCAGGTGTTATTCTCTAACTCCCACTCCATGTCTCTGCCTTCTATCTACAGCCTGATTAGCTTAAATTTACTACACTGGGTTGAGTTATACAAACCTTCCAAATAGTGAATGACTGGGCTTTCCTATACATTTACAACCTCTGGCAAAAAATATGTAATCACCAACCTTGGAGGGTATTAATTTAGTTGTGTAATTTTGTAGAAAAAGGCAGATCACAGACATGACACAAAACTAAAGTCATTTCAAATGGCAACTGTCTGGCTTTAAGAAACACTAAAGGAAATCAAGAAAAATAATGTGGTAGACAGCAAAGGTTATTTATTTAGACCAAGTAGATGGGGAAAAAATATGGAATCATTCAATTCTGAGGAAAAAAATGATGGAATCATGAAAAACAAAAGAACGCTCCATAGATCACTAGCATTTTGTTGCACCACCTCTGGCTTGTCTAACAGCATGCAGTCTCTGAAGCATGGGCTTAATGAGTGACAAACAGTACTCTTCATCAATCTGGGTCTAACTTTGCAGGTTGGAGCGTTCACATTGACAATTTTCTTCAACTTCCACAATAGATTTTCAATCGGATCAAGATCTGGACTATTTACAGGACATGGCATTGACCTTATGTGTCTGTTTTAAATGAATGTCTTCTCAGTTTTTGCTCTATTGCAAGATGCATTATTATCTTCAAAACTTTTTTCACTTTTTAACTTTTTTTCATCATCCCCAGACATCCTTTCAATTGATGGGATTAGAAAAGTAAAACATTTCAACATAAACTTGCATTTGTTGAAGATTTACTTACAGCCACATCAGCAGTGCCTTTACCTGATGTGCAGCCCCATTTCATCAATGACTGTGGAAATGTGCATGTTCTCTTCAGGCACTCATCCTTATAAATCTTATTGGAACAGTACTAAAGAAAAGTTTTAGCATCATTACCTTGCCCAATGCAGATTTGAGATTCATCACTGAATAAGACTTTCCTCCAGTCATCCACAGTCCACCATTGCTTTTCCTTCGCCTGTAGTAACCTGTTTGTTTCGGTTTAGGTGTTAATGATGGCTTTCGTTTAGCTTTTCTGTATATAAGACCCATTTCCTTTAGGCGGTTTCTTCTAGTTTGGTCACAGACTTTGACTCCAGTTTCCTCCGATTTGATCCCCATTTGTTTTTCTTTTGAGACATATTGCTTTAAGTTTTCTGTCTTAATGCTTTGCCATCTTCCTTGGTCTGCCTTCGCATGTCGTTTGTTTTTGGCCCAGATTTTAGACACAGCTGACCGAACAACCAACATCTTTTTGCAACATTGCATGATTATTTACCCTCTTTTAAGAGTTTAACAATTCTCTCCTTTGTTTCATGACATCTCTCTTGTTGGAGCCATGATTCATGTCAGTCCAAGTGGTGCAACAGCTCTCCAAGCTGTGATCACTCCTTTTTAGATGCAGACTAACGAGCAGGTCTAATTTGATACAGGTGTTAGTTTTGGGGATGGAAATTTACAGAGTGATTCCATCATTTTTTCCTCAGAATTGAGTGATTCAATTTTTTTCCCTCTTCTTGGTCTAAACAAGTAATCGTTACTGACCACCATATTTTTGTTAATTCATTTTAGTGTTTTTTAAAGTCAGGCAGTTGCCATTCGAAATGACTTTAGTTTGGTAGCATCTCTGTAATCTTTTTCCTACATAATCAAACAACTGAATGAACATCCACCGAGGCCGGTGATTCCATATTTTTTGTCAGGGGTTGTGTACATTGCTGCTTTATTATGGCCTTAGAATTATTGGCCCTGGACTCACTATTTTAGTAAATCTGTAATACAGCATAAAAAATCTGGTTCTCTGTTTTATGTGGCTCAGTCTTTTACATCATCAGATCAGTGTACAATGGCTCAATAAATTTCTGCTATTTGCCCCTTCTCCAACCTATAGTCACTCTTCAAGACACCAAGCTACATTAAATCCTTCTCTTGAACCAGAGACCAAATACCTGGAGGGAACTGTCCAATATTTTCTGATTCAGAGCCATGTGCTCAAAACGATAAGAAATGACTGTCATTCTAGTACATTCATGCCTGCACTAAAGGTCATTACCCAAACATGCCGGCTGAATAACATGTCCTGCAAAAGGAAATATGAAACCCAGACTTTAAAGAGGTGTGTCAACAATACATCCCCTTAATGTTCAGAGCCTCTAGTATCTCTGGACATATCTTTGTTCTTTTCATGCCCTTGCCACCAGGATATTGTTTAACATTCTTGACCATGGTTATGAGCTCACCTTTTTTTTCTGAATCTTCTCTCTTTGCCATTTCAACAAAAGGAATCCGATGAGATGATTCAACCTCAGCGCTTACATTTGAATTTTACCATTTCCACTGGAAGAAGGAGACCCCAGTGTAGAACTAGAACTTGCTGGAAATACAATATGTCCATTCTGGCCTGGAAACAGCGAATAGGCCAGGAAAAAGAATATCTGTATTTACTTTATTGGAGCATTTTCAGACACTTTAGAATCTCTAATTGAAAAGTGTTCACAAACATGTTACTGCTTCTATGTGTTCTTGGTCTGATCAAGCATCACTCACAAATGCTAATATCATTTTTCACTCTTATATAGCTTTTCTTGGAGTCTTTATGCAATAATAGTCTTTGTGTTATTAGTTTTCATCAGAGTAATTGTATGCAGTAGAAATGCAAAGATGCTGACTTCTGGTTTCATTTCGGGTCTGAAATGCAGATTCTGATTTTAAGAGAAATATGCTGTAGGGTTCTGACAGAGGTGGCAGTTTTCAGTCTAACAGAAAATTGAATTATAAGATTATCCTCATTTATGCAACAAAGCACATGGTCATAATATCAGGGTCTATTCTGCCGTTTGGTTCAGTTACAGACCAGTGCATCCAATAAATAATTGAACTTCATTAGAGTCCCTCAATAAAAAGTGGCAGGTTGATCATGTTTAGTCAGCATATTGCCGTCTTAAAGTGGTATTGCTTATCTATATTCAACCCCTGACCAATTTACTTTGCTCAGTTTTCCTGCTTAGAGGCACAGGGGGGTCATATTATTCAAGCAGTTTACACACATGAGGCAAGATGGGCCCTGGACAAGTTGCCAGTTTATCACAGGACCAACAAAGAAACCAACACAACACCTAGCTTCATTTGAAAAACCAATTAACCGAACATACATGTTTTGTAACTGTGGGAGGAAGCTGGAGTTCCAAGAAAAAATCTAGTCATATCTTTGGAGAACATAAGAAAGATTCCAGCCAAGGATCAGACTAGGGATGCTTGCTGGAAGGAAAGAGATGCAAATATCAGATATTCAGCATCAAAATTTGCTGCTACATGGATTGTTTATACAGTAGATAATAGAGCTTCTATTTCATGTCTCAAACATATTAAAAACACTATTCTGCTTTGTCAAGAAAAAGAAACAGCTTTTTTTTTTTGTTGCCTCACAAGCAAATTGCCAACAGCTTCAAACAGCCCATACTACTGTATAGTCTTTCACATTGACATCCCCATTTCGATTATTTCCCTGTTCCTGAGCAACCTCTGGCATTTATGCTCATGCCATATTTGAACCTATATATCGTCTTTGCTAAAAGTGAAACTATCCTTCTATGCCCACAGATGTCTGACTCCTCCCCAACAAAATCTGCCTCCTTTTTCCCTGACACATGGTGCCGAAAAGCCTATGAGGAAAACACCCGTTCTGGCACTCGTCCCACACCTGAGGGAGCCGGCTCCATGCCCAGCTCCACGGGCACCCCTTCCCCAGGCTCTGGGATCTCATCACCTGGATCCTTCTCTGGATCTCCTGGAACCATCTCCCCAGGAATTGGCACTGGATCACCAGGTTCCCTCGGTGGTTCCCCGGGTTTTGGGACCGGGTCACCGGCCTCAGGAAGTGGAAGTTCCCCGGGAAGTGAAAGGGTGATATGGTGTGAGAACTGCAACACACGGCTGATGGAGCTGAAACGTCAAGCACTGAAACTGCTCATCCCTGGACCATATTCCAGCAAGGTAAAAACAGCTTTGATCAGGCTTTATATATTTAATAAAAAAGCCGATAAGCAGCACTGTGCTAATAAAGAGAACAAAGTAAAACGAAGAACTATGACTGTGAGACTGACTGTTCAGCTTTTATGCTTGTGCTGGAGATTCAAGGATTCAAGAGTTTTTATTGTTTGACATTTTTAAAAGCTCTGAGGTTTGCTGCTGGTCGGAAGGCCATTAATTAGGAGTAATTTGGGAGGTTTGGTTCAGGTTCTGCTGATTACAGCCTTCTTTGTGGTTACATTTATTGCAGAGGAGAAAGAACGCACACATGAAAAATTTCATCAAACCTGCTTTAGGTACGTTTTTTTTTTTTTTTGAGGAACTTTTTAAAAAACTGTGAGATTTCATTTTTAAACTTCTCTAAAATCTGGTATTTGAGAGTTGTATGTGATACATTCACATTTTAATCTGACACAAATGTTTAAAATCCTGTTAAAACATTTTTTTAGGAAAGAACCTATATGTAAATAAAGTCATTGATTCTTTTTAAAAGCTGTGGAAAACATAAATTGGGAAAATCTTCCAATATATTGCTTAAACTGTCAGCCTAAAGAGCATTTATTTTTGATCACAGAGGCATCCAAACAACATCCAAGAGGCCTGTTCTTAGGGAGATGCAGTGTTTCAAAGCTCAGGTGAATGAGTCAGTTTGGAAAAAACAATAGATGTCCGCTTCACTATGGCTTTTATTGAAGAGTAGCTGAATAATTAAAAACATGGTGAATAAATAAGCTCCATCTCCTATATTGGCAGACACACAATACATGGAAGGAGGCCTCTCTGCTAGAGGAGAGCAAAAATAAATATCTCTGTCTCAGATGGAAAATGTTTTTTTGTGAATCTAACCCTGCACAGTACAGTTTTGGTAGCACTATGTTGAGGGAAAGTTTTTTATATGTAGGGTTTTGGAAATTGGTCAAAATTGATAAAGATGAAAGGTGGGACATTTGGGACAATGCTGCTAAACACCTGTTAAAGGCTGCAAGAGACTTGAGAATGGGATTCAAGAGCAACAATAAAAACAGAATGATGGGTTAGTTTACATCAAATCATATTGTAGGAATATGCTAGTCAAAGTCGAGGCTTAAATTAAAGTAGGAAAAGGGAGGATGAATTAAAAAATTTTTTAATATACAGGACTTTTCAATCAAATGAGCGTTAGCCTGAGCTATTAGAAATGGACAAGAAGGATTTACAATGCTGGTAAATACATGAAAACACATGGTTCTGTAATTGCACAGAAAAGTGGTCTTCCAATTTTTGCCTCAAGTGGGCTGATAAAATGCAAACAACGCTTTTTAGATTTTTTAAAACCATTTTTAAAGCCATATTAATTTTTTTTCTCCTTTCATGATGTGCGTTTTCTATCACAGGAAACCCTACAAGATACTTCTGACTTAAAGCACTTCTAAAGACCTTTCAGTTTTGGTCCATTTTGGCTCCCCCAGTGCACAAAAGCTGCATTGTTTTGCCTGAAGAAGAACCGCATATTCCATGAAGACCAGCACATAGCACGGTCAAATGCTTATCTCCTGGTCAACTGCAGTTGGATTGATCTAGATTTCTGTTTCCAGTGACTGTATGAAACATGAATAGCAATCAGGTAGTGCATCTAATTGTGGCGACACAATGTGATATGATGATGTTGAAAATAAGAAACAGTTAGCTTTGGTTTTGTACCGCATTCAACCCCGCCTCACCGACTCGTAAAAAACTGGTGTGTTGATGACTTTAGAATCTTGAAACAGACACATATAATGTCATGTTTGATCATTTCATTGTAAACACACATATATAAATCCCAGCAGGAAGGTGCTGCATTGCCTGAAATCAACCCTGCACAAATATACAGTCTTCCAGGGAAATTAAGACGTATTGACTTACTTCTTTATAACGAAAGGGTAAAGAGGGAAGTGATGTATGCCGTTAAGCAGTCTGCACATTAGTAGTTGTTTTGTGTAGCAGGGTTACTGCCGCACTCCTCAAAGTGGTTTAGTGCTGATGAAAGAGATACAGAGCCCCTCGGGCCATGACAGAGGTGTCACTCCAGTAGTTAAATATTGATTTATAATCACAAAAGTTATGAAAATATTTTTTGAAGGTTGAAAAGTTAGGGTTAGTTTAATAAAACAGGGAAAAAATCAATCAAGGGGTGAAAAAACATAATTGCTAGATTTATGCAGAACTCTTTTGTACCTTGGCATACACGCCAAGGCAAATATGAGTCAACCAATGTACTTGTCAGGCTCCAATAAACCTCTTATTAGCGCTCTTTGATTGCTTTCTGTGATGTGGGATTTTTGAACCATTGGTAAACACACCTGACTCGACTACTTGGAAAGCTTTGATGCAAAAACAGGAACCCTTTTCAAAGTTTTATTTGTTATTGTTTGAACAAACATCAGTAAAATCCATCAACAGCACTGTCGGGTAGATATTTTATGGTATAGAAGAACAGGTTTAACACACAAGCTGAACAGAAATGCAGAGTTCACTCCCAGGACTCATTTACCTGTTTTTTCTTGCTCCACATGCTAATTCATTCTCTTTAAAGTAACTTGATGTGAGACAGTATTTTCTGATCATAAGTAGGCTATGTTTCTCTGAGCTTGCACTATATTATCTCCTTATTGAAGAAGAGGAGCTGCTCTGCATGCTTTCAAATACTTGCAGGTCATTACTGAATACCTTAACAGTTCAGTTATTTCAGCCAGGTAGAGTTTCCCGACTGGCTGTTCTTTTGTTTAACCCTAGACGTGAGTAAACTGACCTATCCAGGTGTTCTTTGTCAAAGAAAAACTGAACTGGTGTCCTTGGTAAAAGCAATGTGACCCAATAATCCTTCACCTTCAGCAAATGTGCTGGAACAGCAGTATGGTGTGTGTGTTTTGTGCAGTTGTCCTGTCAGAATGAGACCTTGTGTTATTCTCATGAGACAGCGGGGCATGTGTGACCCCCACCTCCTGACACACACACACATACGCAGAATGCACATTCATCAAGTGGTACAAACTACACAAACCCCTGTTTGTCTCATGAATATAAATAAATACACGACAGTTTATGCAGCAGAGATGCTGTTAGTCTCTCTCACACACACAGACACACCCTCATAAGTAGTCTAACACTGATCACCAAGTCTTTACCTTCAGATAGAGAAATTTATGCAGCTGTGACCTGCTTTTGGTCCCCGCAGAAAACACAAACTTCCCACAGAGTGGCTGTGTAAACCCGTTAGTCCTCATAACAGGAAGAAAAAAAGAAATCTCTGCAAACATTATGTTAATGATGACCTTCACAGATCTTACCCTGTTTGTATGTCTGCAGTTTAATGGGCCTGTGTGGATATGTGCAGTGTTTGAATATGGTGATGCAGCTCATTCACTGGTATAGTGTGTGAATTAAGTCACCAGACTTCTTTAAAAGAAATGTTGGTTCAGTTGCTTAACACCAATCAGCCAATCAAATGCCAGGAACCTGACGCGGCGTGGCAACATTAGATGTGATAAAGATTATTTGGTTAAAGTCTAACTAAAACTCAGAATAATTAAGAAAGGGAATTTGAATATGTCTTGACTGTCCTGAGTAATTAATAAACTGCTGATCTACAAGGCTTTTTTGCTGAGGTTTAAAGAGAATGGATAAAAAAAAGGACAAATGTTTAGTTAGCAGCATTTGTTTGATTGCGTTGTTGATTTTAAACAAAGTAATCTTGGTCCGTCTGGTTCGAGGTGGTGATCGATGTGTGTGATGGAGGGGAAACTGTGCTGGGAGCTTTATGAAGAGCATTTTGAATGCCGATTGGCTTTTTAGAGGTTACGATCCAGTCGTCGATTGGCTAGAGCTTGAGGGAGGCCCACCAGCAGGTGGTCCAACTGAGACTAATAAGAGTCTTCCAGATAGAATTTTCGCTTAGGCTTCATTTGAGGCTGGAGTGAAGGTATATTTTCTTTGCACACAATGAGCCTCTTTACACTAACTGAGCATTGTTTAAACACTACAGTCTACTTGAGTAGTCGTTAGAAACAATGGCCATTGCTTTATAACCTCACAGTGCCAGTCTTCTAGTGGATTCTTCAAGCAGAACAACATGGATTAAAACTTTTAAGGGTTGTTTAAAGCATATTTTTTTAATATAATTAATCTATGGCATGAAGCAGTTCCGAACACAAAAGTGGGGTTAATCCCTGCACTAGTGAGATAAAGGTAATAGACTGGCAGATATATAATAATATTAATTGAACTGATCTCACACTGGAGAAGTTTACCTCTGCATTTGACCCATTACCTTGGGGAGCAGTGGGCTGTTACTGTGCGGCACCGTGGGAGCAGTGTGGGGTTAAAGGTTGTGTTCAACTCATGTAGTTTAACTCAGAACCTCTGGGACCCAAGCGCACAGTTCTAACCACTAGTCCACCACTCCCCTAGTGTATATATATATATATATATTAGGGCTGCAACTAACGATTATTTTAAAAATCGATGAATCGGACGATTATTTTTTCGATTAATCGATGAATCGGACAAAAAATATTTTTTATATTAACCTCTTTATTCCAAAATAAACATTATAGACAGAACAAACAAGCACACAAGTACAGGTTGCTCATTAACTGTACTGGTGCAATATGAAAAATAAATGTTTGTGTTAAAACTACGCAAACTTACATGAGAAATGTAGCTGTACATCCACAAAATATAGGGTACTTTGTTTCATAAAGCGCAAAAAAAGACATTTTTGTTTTTAAAAGCCTCTAAGGGGTTCAAACAATAGGCCCCCCCATTTCAACAAATGAGTTTTTTTTAGACTAGAAGAGTTCTGCCTTTTAAAACAGGAAAGTACAGCAGTTAAATTTGCTACTTGAGAAAATACTGAACCATAGAGATAAAAATAGCCCTGTGATTCAAATTATAAATTGTATTTGGAATAAAAATGAGAGAACTAGGGGTGCTAAAAAACACATCCTCCAAAGACAGATATTTACATGGGAATGTGGCATATAATTAATTGACATATTACTGATCGTGCTGGATTTTATTCTGCCTTACTTCTATAAATTGCAGGATCATCTTTACTTTATCTTTGCCAGAAGATTTAAACTTTAAAAGTCTTGCCCTCATAATTTGCAAGCTAATTTATTTATAAAGTAAATATAAACGCTGCTTAAGCTAATACAAATGAAATTAAAAGTAAAATAAGTAGCCAACCTTATCACTGTCTGTAACCTACCAACAAGGTAAGGAAAGCATCAGATGAGCTACCTGAGAAACTAACGTTACGTTTCCCCACTTTAAAACCAAACAAACATGGTGGTTCCGTGCCATGTTAATTTCTTTTGAAAAAAGTTGCATGTTATCACTTTTTTCGCTTTACAAAGCGCAGGCTATTTTAATTATTGTGATCAATTTGCGCCGTCAATCCCGGTGCATGCGCGCTTCATTTGCAGTCTGGACGCTGAGGCTCTGACTGAGAGGGACTCCTGCGGGAAAACGGGGTTGGGGTTGGGGAGGCGCCCCACGGCAGAGTAGGAACGATGCATGCTTTCACGTAAGAGTCTCCAAAAGCCGCCAGTGACACCGAAAAAAGTCGCCAGATTTGTTGCTAGTCGCTTTTTTGAAAAATAGTCGCTGGAGGGGTCTGAAAAGTCGCGGAGCTGGCAACACTGCCCCTGCGGCGCTGACTCGCTCCGCCATATTTAGGCCCGAGCAGCGACAGCGCTGCTGCGAGAGCCTATTGTATCTGTAGTGTTTATTAGGCCCGAGCAGCTCACCGCTGCGAGAGCCTATTGTTCCTGTACCGTTTGTTATTATTATTAGGCCCGAGCAGCTCACCGCTGCGAGAGCCTATTGTTCCTGTACCGTTTGTTATTATTATTATTAGGCCCGAGCAGCTCACCGCTGCGAGAGCCTATTGTTCCTGTATCGTTTGTTATTAGGCCCGAGCAGCTCACCGCTGCGAGAGCCTATTGTTCCTGTACCGTTTATTCTTCTTTTTCTTTTTCTTATTTTTCTCCGCTTAAAAGAAACAGCTTTTTGGAGGCTTTA